TTCTTAAACACTGATATATTAAGTGTTGTGCCAAACGATGTCTCAAAAAGTGTTAAAATTATTTTCAGTCGCGACCCGAAAGCCGAACACAATTACGGTGTCGTCAAAGAAGTAGAAAATAATCAAAATATATCTCATTATTCTATTGATTGGTTGAATCCATTACCAAATGAAGAGTTTTGTATTCATATCGGAGGAGATCAGCAATGGTTTAGTACTTATGAAGAAAATGAGCAAAGATGGCCAATTGATAAGAATAAGCACATGTCATCACCCGTCGCTTTCTCTTCCGATGATCAGTTTCATAATCCAATTGGAAGTATTATTGAATACCTATTTCTTGGTTCCCATGGATTTGCGGTATTCATAGACAGATCGGCTCCTCTTTCCATCAGAAGAGATACTATTTCTGGGAATCAATTGCTTTGCTTTTCTGGAGATTACAACAAATTCCCATTTGACCATGCTCCTCATAAAAATCAAATTAAAATTGTAATTCATTTGATGACTTCAAACGATATAATGTCTGTCTATAGATATGCGGCCAATAATTGGATTCAAAAGCCAACCGGTATTCCCGATGAAAGGATGTTTAAATTTCCAATTTGGTAATACAGTGCATAAACTTATTATATATTTTGCAAACTGCGAATTTATAAGTTACATGATATATTTCTATTAAAAATATGTTTAGGTCAACGTGGGCTAAATATCACGCCGACATAACACAGCAAAAAGTACTCGATTTCGCTCAAGAGATCAAATCTCACGGCTTTTCTAACAGTCAAATAGAAATCGACGACAAATGGGAAGCAAAATACGGAGACTTTTCTTTTGATACAAAAAAGTTTCCAAATCCTCGAGAAATGGTTACAAAACTTAAAGATAATGGATATCGAGTGACACTTTNAACAGTCAAATAGAAATCGACGACAAATGGGAAGCAAAATACGGAGACTTTTCTTTTGATACAAAAAAGTTTCCAAATCCTCGAGAAATGGTTACAAAACTTAAAGATAATGGATATCGAGTGACACTTTGGGTCTATCCCTTCATTAATGCCGATTGCGATGTATTTAACAAAGAAAGTCAATATTTGATTAAAACCCAACAAATCCTCGAGAAATGGTTACAAAACTTAAAGATAATGGATATCGAGTGACACTTTGGGTCTATCCCTTCATTAATGCCGATTGCGATGTATTTAACAAAGAAAGTCAATATTTGATTAAAACCCAAAATAACTCAATAGCTGTGAAGGACTGGTGGAATGGAAAGGGAGGACACATCGACTTCACCAATAAGAAGGCTCAGCAATGGTTTGTCTCACGTGTGCAAAACATTAGGGACACAACAGGAATCGATTCATTTAAGTTTGACGCGGGAGAGTGGGGTTGGATTAGTCGGGACTTTAAACTCGATGACCCATCCATTCAACAAACGCCACTCACATTAACTCAATTATATGTCGAAACTGCCGCTCAATTGGGTTTGTTTTCTATAAACATAATGATTATAACATTTAAGAGTTTGCTTAGAAATTGCTTAAATATACGATTGAATTATAAATTAAAATTATAATACTTTAGGAAATATGATCGAAACGAGAGCCGCTTATAATTCCCAACATTTGCCAATATTTGTGAGAATGTTAGATAAGCTGTCAGTTTGGGATTATAACGGTGGACTTAAAACATTAATCCCAACGGCACTTATGATGTCAATCGGCGGCTATAGCTTTGTGTTGCCGGATATGATCGGTGGTAACGCTTACGGGAATTTCCCGTCAAAGGAGTTGTATATCCGATGGCTTCAAGTGAACACTTTGA